GCCATTGCATCCCAAACCGATTCTAATTTCCAATCGGTGGTGCTCAATCACGCACACCGCTTTTCCTTGCTGAAGGAGTCAGCTGGGGACGATGGGAGTTGGAATACAGCCCCTCTTGGAAAGAGGCTCTAAGTCCCAGAGAGAAAGGAGGTGGGATGAGGGACAGAGAATGGCGCACAGGCTCCGTAGGGTTGCCAAAATTTGAGCAGAAATAGTCTCGGTGGCTTTTGGGATTTCTTTCGAAGGTCGCATCTCTTCCTTTTCGTTTTCACACCTTCGTTGGCGGACAAGGAAGCGGGTCTTGGCTGGAGATGAGGCACTTGCCTTTCTACTTCGGTGAAAATGATCGTTTTCTCTCCCCCGTCATTCTCTCCGCTGTAAACTCTTTGATTCCAAAAGAGCGTTTTTGTTGTTTATTTTTTTTAATTTGGGAAAAGCAGGGTGTGATCTTGTGGCTGCTGCAAAACCTCGCCGAGAGTGGGAAGGGCAGGACGCTCGTTGTACATTAGCCAAATAATTCCTACGTACCGTTCCCGTTTTGCTGAGAGGGCTTGTGCACAATTGTACAATCCAAAGTCTTCCAGGCAGGGCTGGTGAAGAAGGTCCCGGTGCACACGGAAGGAAGGGCCAGCGGGCTTTGAAACACTCTTACAACCGTTCCGACTCCACAAGAGTCGATTGGTAGCTCTGTGGGGTCCTTGGGGCTCTCCAAGCTCGGTTGGTTTTCTTGCAGACGTTTCATGACCCAGCTAGGTAACAACATCAGTGCAAACCCCACCCCTTTCTAAGCGCTGATGACATTCCCTAGCTGGGTCACGAAACGTCTGCCAGAAAACCAGCCAGCTCGGAAAGCCCCAAGGACCCCACCATTTCGACTCGTCTTTGCTGTCTTCAGTTTTCTTTGTTTTTGTGCCTTTGAGTCGGCCTTGACTCCCGGAAACTGCCGGGAGGAATCGGGCGGTTTTCTCAGCCAACTGTCGGAACTGGGCCCTTGGTCCCAGGGTCACGAGAAAGTCACCCAGTCGGCTCCGCGTCTAAAGTAACCTGGTTTTCTAGCCTGATGCCTGACCCGCTGCTCCAAACTGGCTCTCCAGTGCTGGTGCTCAGCACCTAACCGCAAATTTGCCCGGCTCTTTTTTTGTATGCTTCCAAAAAGAAAAAAAAAAAGGCCCTCTTGTGATGCTCCCAATTCAAATGTTGCCTTGAAGCTGAGTCTCCCAATGAAAAAAAAAGTGTCCCCCCCGCTCCCCGCTAATGCCCCCCCCGTTACCATTTCCATGGTGAAAAACGGTGCTGTATTTGTGTGACGTTTTCTCTCCCTCCTTTTGAATTGCAATGATAGTAGAAATGCATCCGTCCAGTATGGGGGTTTGTTTTCCCCCCCTCCCAAGGGGCAATTTTGGAAATCACAGAAACCAAATGCAAAGAAGGAAAACCGGTTCAATTTCTACCTTTTTCCCCCCGAAACGGGAAAAAAAAATGATTCTGTTTAATATGCCCCGGGCCGCGATTAATTTGGACTTTCCTACGGGCAACTCTTTCGGAGAACGAAGCCTCTTAGGTGAAACTGGGTGGTCTGCGCTCATCCAGCCGCAAAATCTATGGACAACCGGGTTTTTCTGCTGAAAGGAGACCAGGATTAAAATCCTCGGGGAGAGACGGGGGGCTTTGGACTTGATGCGCTGCTTTCCTATATGCCAGGCAGGTTTTCTGCTGGTACCCAGAGCTGTGTTTGCAATTTGTATGTGACGGTGCATCGCTCCTGAGTCCGTCACTGAAAGAGCGTGCAGTCAGGCTGGCGTGGTTCTTAAACAAGGGTGATCTGGAAGCAAAGGGTCAATTGCCAGAATCTTCTGGCTCAAGAGAACGTTTTTCTTACAGCTTAAACCTAATGGGGTGGGGTGTAGAATTTACTATACTCATTGACTACGTTTCCCCTTCGCCTCCCAACAAACGCTCCTACTCCCGAACAACAAAACCAGGTTAGCCTTCTCTGGCCTGGCACCTGTTCAAGTTACCAGCCTCTTCTCTTTCAGCACCGGCCCATGCTGGTTGGGGATGCTGGGAGTTGTAGTCTTCAGAGAGAGAGGAGGGGAGATGATGGGAGGCCGATCTCTGTCTTTTTTTTGGTTGTTCGATTGTTTCTGTCTTCCTTCTTGAGCCGAAATCTTGGAAAGGCTTAGCAGCATTTTTCCTGCCCGGTCGAACTTCCACGGTTGCAAGTAAAAGAAGGAAGAAGGAAGAAGAAGAAGAAAACAGCACCTGGGACAACGAACCACCTTTGCCCAGAAAACGTGGCAAACGTTTTGCCTCTTTCAAGATCACAGCCACGATTGTAGCGTTTTAACATTACACACTGAGCTGCTGCGGTCGGCTTTGTACGTCTGTTCTGTTTGTGCCGTTTGACTTGGTGTCTTGAGTTTTTCCATGTTTCCCTGAGGTTCTCTGTTGTCTCCAGAGGAAGAACTACTCCTGCTACTATTCCTTTCTTCCCTTCTTCATCCCTTCTGCTCCTCCTCCTCCTCCATCCCTCTTCCTTCCTTCCTCCCTCCCTCCATTCGTTCATTCCTCTTTCTCCATTCTTCCTTCTCCTTCCCCTCCTTCCTCTTCCATCTTCCCCTTCTCTTCCATGTCTATCTCCTCCTCCATCTAAGTTGGGGGGCGGGGGTGCTGTCGGCAAGGATGACTTGCTGAAGTTTACGAAAGGACCTCCTCTCGCCAGACAGAAGGGCCTTGGGAGCCGATGCGTGTACAAAGCCCGTTTTGTCGTCCACACTGGTCGCTTGTTCTCCTGTCCCCCCCCCCCCACTTTCTTTCCAAAGAGCCCCTCCAGCATCGCCCGGCAAGAGTTTAGGTGTGACTCCCCTGTGCCCTCCCCACTCCACCCCCCAAAGCAACCGATGGGGAAGGAAGGCAGATTGGGACCCCCCCTGTTCCACTCCACATCTCCCTTTTCCTACTTCCAAGCACGACGTAGCTTCCACCGTCGATCTGGCGGCCCAGTTTGGGTGGGTGAGAAATCATGCTTGGACAGTCCAAGCGGCTTAGGAGAAGAATTGGCGGGGACAACCAACCTATCGGCAGGAAGGAGTGGGAGAGTCAAGGTGACGGTTAACGCTTAAAATCCGTGACGCCTCCTCCTCAATCTCACTCTTTGTGATTGGCTGATGAGGTCCAGCGGTTGCTCACACTCAACTCTGGTGGGTTTCTCCAAGGTGGATCCCATGCCGGATAATTTAAAAAATGCAAGTTAAAAGTGGCTGTGAAGAGTCTCAGTCAACCGGGTTGCAGTTGTATCAGAAGTGATTTTATTTTTATTTTTTGGGAAAAGGCCACTGGATTGGTTCTCCCCCCCACCCGCCCCCAAAGAAAGAAGAGGTTTTGCTTCCCATCCTGGAAGCTTCATCACTTCTATTGGATGGTGTGGGAGATGGAAGGACATTTTTTTGACAGTTGAGCTTCGTTGGCAGGGGACAGGCAGGAGGGGGCATGAGAATGGCAAAAATTGTGTTTTCTTTGCAGGCAACTGGTCTGAGGTGACCCCGAGGCCACGGATAAAACTCGCAAGTAACCACAACGGCTATCGGGGTTGTTCCCAATCCCAATCCTCTCTGCTGGATCTGTAGCTCGGGGTTGAACTGTGGGACCCCTGGTGCTCTCTGGCTTCGTGGTTTTCTTGGAGACATTTCATTGCCCAGCTAGGTAACATCATCAATTCTAGAAGGAGGGAGACAACTGTATATATAAAAAGAATAAACCCCCTCCTTTCAACCACTGATGGTGTTACCTCGCTGGGCAATGAAACGTCTCGAAGAAAACATCCAAGCTCAGCACCAAAAACCTCACAATTTCAGCTCCTCTTGGCTGTTTTCAATGTATGTGTGTGTGTGTTATGGCGGTTTTCAGAATTTGCCTCCTTCTCCCCAAGGCTGAGAGAGAGTAACTGGGCTACCCAGGTGGACCCTGAGGTCACAGATAAAACCCTGAGTAACCACAACGGCTCTTGGAGAACGTTACGGCTAGTTGACTTCAAAGAAAATCCAACTTTTCCATTCTCACCTTCCCTCACCACCATCTGTCAGGACCTTTTGTTCCCCTCATCCACCAATTCATCTCAGCTGTCAATAACTCTCCTTCCATCTCCCACACCATCCAATAGAACTGATGAAGCCTCCAGAGTAGGAAGCGAAACCTTTTTTTCCTTCCTCAAAGTTGTCTTTTTCAAAAATAATATTTCAAAAAAAAAACTTCCAATACGAGTTAAAAGGGGGCTTGGAACGGCCTCTTCACCACCTCCATAGGTTGATCAGAAAATTAAATCACCTGAAATTTTGGGGGGGGGCTTAAGTCCCCCCGCCCCCTTCTCGATGCCTCTTGGATCACGGCTTTCTTCACACCTAACTTTTTTGCTGGACGGTGCCCCTTTGACTGTTAACTCTTGCGGTGGGATTTTGTACTTTTCAATGATTCTGTGCTGTCAGCCTGTGGCTTATCCTCTTGTGAGTCTCAAAAGTTTAAATTATACCACCAAGTGTCTTAAACTTAATTGTATTGGCCATTGTTTTTTCAATGCTACAAGTAATGTATTATTTTCCTTTCTTTTCTGTGTGTTTTCAAAGCTTGTAAAAACCAAACAGCGCGAGAGAGAATCATACTTTGAATATAATGGCAAACATCTGTTCTGAAAGTTCCATAGACCACAGTTGTAAAATCAACTGTTGGGTTGGTTTTTTTTTCCTTCCTCGATATGTAATAAATATTTATGACATTTGATAATGCTATTTATCGTTGGTTTGTTCCTCTGGAATGCGCTTGTAATTCACGAGCACCTCAAACTGTTCTTGCTTCTCCCTGGACTTCTGAATATTGAACAGGGGAGAAAAATATACCCCTGGATCGAATCCCTGTCACTGCAATGGCTCCGTTGTCCGGTGCCAACAACCAGACTCACAAGTCAGGAGTTCAATTAGCTGTTTTTATTGTTCGAGCCCACCCCCAGGAATCTTCTGGTTGGACCTAGATAACGCTAAATGAAGTTCAACAGCATTCAAAGGAGGGATGAGACTTCGCCCTCTTGTGCCAACATCCAGGCTAATTCCCTGTTTGACGCCTCCCCCCCCTGGCTTGGCTATTCTCTCTCCGGCACCCTTGTTGCTTTTGTGGATTTCAGATCAAGATCAACCCAGCCAGGAGACCATACACCATCCTGGACAAGCGTTGGTCCAATTATTTTCTTGAAAACCTCCAAAAAGGAGCACCCATCTCTCCGAGAGACAGGCTGTTCCCCCAAATCATCCTGACCAGCAATGCAATTGGAATTTGCCTCCTTCAAATCCTGTCGACTATTCTGCGTTTGTATTGCAGGGCAAATCTTAACCGCTTTCTATGTCGCATCCTTTCTATTTTTTTTTTTATTAAATTCAATCTTATCCCCTTTCTACCTTCTTTCCTCGAGGCTACTGAGTTTTCCGTTCTCCCAATCGTGCTTTTTATATTTCTTTACCAAACGCTCCAAGGATGGTTCCTTTAATGAAAATTACACCATCCTCGCCTCTGCTTCCAACTCCGTATAAGAACAAACAGCTCAGTTACTGTAGTGGTTCATTTACTGAAGCAACACTGAAGCAGCATCCTTGTTTCAAATGTCAAAAGGCAAAGGTTTACAGGAGGAAATCTGAGCACCCTTTGGGCCTGCAGATCAGAAAAAGTAGCACCGCTTTTCATTACTGACATTTTCGGGCCGCCTTGGTGAGGGGAAGAGGCAGAATCTGGAATTTGCCGGAACCGTGAGGCCATCTTCAAAAGAACGGAAGGCTTTTGGCCTCACCAACCAATGTCTTTGCCGCCACCTTAGTGAAGTCCACGATGAAGGGAAAAATAAAATCTCGCGTGCTGAGGTCCTAACGCGGCCTGCGAAAATGCGCCTCGATCTCTTCTAGACTTTTCCCTTTTGTTTCGGGAACGCAGACAATGGTGAAGATGACGTTGAGTAAACAGGTGGACGAGAATAGCCAGAAGGTCCCATAAGGGGTTAGGAGAACCTAGGCACGAAAGGAGGCCGTTGGTTTAACTTTGGGCCAAGGCACGGAAGAGAAGGAGGAGACAGCGTGGGTCACCATGAGGGCAACCCGAGACTCCGAGGGGCAAGAGGGAATGGAGCTGTCATAGAGACAGAGGCGGAGCCTGGGCCGTCCGTCAGCCCTCAGATGGAGAGCCAACAGCCCCCAGGTCTGGAGGTGGCTGATGAGGAAGAGGAGGAACAGCTGGGCTCAGTGCCTGACACAGAAGGCAGAGGAGAGGAGAGCAGTGGAAATCTATGGGCCGGCTGGGATTCCCTCACTTACCGTGAGGTCGTGGAACTCCTTGGTGACCAGGAAAGCCATGAGCCAGTTGGTGAGGACACAGGCCCCGCTGGCGATTCCCCGGGCCCTCAGGGGAAATATTTCAGACATCACCAGCCAGGGGATGGGGCCCCAGCCCAAGGCGAAACCTGTGGGTGGAAGAACAGCAAAACAAGGCGTTTGTTGGATTAGATCGGGCCAGGGAAACAGATAGCCCTACCTAGCCGTGGAGTGATGGGTGCAACCTTGGGCTGGAGGAACCCCTAAGGCAGGAGCCAACTAAGGAGGAATTTCCTGACAGTGAGGACAATCGACCAGTGGAACGGTTTCCCTCCAGACGCTGTGGGTGGGTGCGCCATCACTGGAGGTTTTCAAGAAGAGATCACGGGATCCCTCTTTTCCCCCCCCGAGAGCCACCACTTCTGCAAGGCCCTCACTCACCCATAATGAAGAAACTCATGCTCAGCACTGCCAACCAGGCCAGGGGGTGTCCTTCCTCCACAGGGGGGGTGTTCAGCACCTGGAGGTGGGAGGAATTGCTGGGGCTGGGGACGGTAATTCTGAAATAGACCCCAAACACCGTGGCGCTGGCAGCCATGATCATTCCTGGGAGCGAGAGGGGGAATGGAAGAGAGGAAAAAAACGCGAACTCTTACAAAAAAAATTGGGGAGACTCAAAACTTGCCTCAATTTGGGGAAAGAGAGCCGGTCCCCTCCGTCCTACCTGAGATGACGAGAAGAATTTTTCGTCCGGTTTTATCAATAATGAGAGCGGCCGTTGCTGTGAAGATGACCTGGATGGAGCCAACAATGACGGTAGCCGCACTGCTGTCCTGGGAGACACAAAGGACACGGAAGGAAGCTGTGTTGGACTTCTTAGGCAAAAGGACAGGCGTTCAACTCAAAACCCTTCAAAGTTACAATGGCACTCTGACAATGACTTACGACCGTTCCTTGCACTTATGACGGTTGTGCCACCCTCATGGTCACGAGGTCAAAATTCAGGGGCCTGTCTTTACTGAGAGGAGGTAGCATCCCAGGCTCACATCTGCAAACTTCCAAGCTGGTTTCCGGGTGGGGGGAGCTGGGTTCGCTTAAGGACCGCTTTGCTGCAGGGATTCGCTAAACAACCACGGCAAGCAGGTCGTAAAATCGAGTGTGATTCACTTACCAACTGCTTTGCTTAGCAATGGAAATGCTGCTCCCAGTTCTGGTCATTAAGTCGAGGATGATGTAAGTTAAGGAAATGTCCTTTGGAACAAGGTCTAGTCTAATAAAAAGAAGGACTAGGGGTGACATAAGGGCAGCCTTCCAGTATTTGAGGGGCTGCCCCACAGAAGAGCGGGGGTCAACTTAATAGGCAGAGCACCAGAAGGCAAAGAAGACATTGGAGAATCGTTTGTCTCAAATTGGGGTTGGACTAGAAGACCTCAAAGGTCCCTTCCAGCTCTATTCTGATTGACTGTCCCGGTGGCTTGATTTGGTCCATACAATCAAGGGGTGTCATTCTACCACCCCAAGTTAATCTCTAACGGAGTCGAAACAGCCCAGGAGAAACCACAACCCACAGTTCACTCCCTCACCTTAAAGTTGGCGTCTTCGAAGATAGTTTCGGCGTAAAACATCAAGGCGTTGATCCCGGACGCTTGTTGGAAGAACATCATGGCCACCCCAATCAGGAAGGGCTTGTAGATGGAGGGGTTCTTGAACTCGGCAATGCTCATTTCCTGCTACAAAGGGACAGGCAGGTAGTCCTCGGCTTACAACAGTTCATTTAGCGGACTGTTCAAAGTTACAACAGCACTGAAAAATTATTTAGGGGAAGGCTTCGTTTTTTTTCTTCGTTTTCCCTCCCCTTCCTCCTAGTTTTCTAATTTCTCTTTTTAGACAGATGAATGGATGGGTACATACATGCTTTAATATGGGCCCTATGCTTAATGGGTGGATCAAGGTACTTCCCTCTGGCCCGGATTCTTCTCTGTGTATTTTATATTTTGGCAAAATAATTAAAAAAGGAAAAAGAAAAGTGAAAACGGAAAGGAAGGCCTTAAGCAACGAGGCCCTTGGGGACTGCCTGGTGGATTCTTCCCTCACCTGTTCGTTGACGTTGGCTTCAATCTCCCGGCATTCCCACTCGTGATCCACCAGTGGGCCCCGCAGGAATTGCAAAGCCGCGACGGCTTCAGACTGCCGGTTCTGGCGTAGCAGGAAGCGAGGAGTTTCGGGCACAAAAGCCATGAGCCCCAGCAGGAAACAGGGAGGGATGGAGCTCAGCACCGCCAGCCAGCGCCACTCCAGCGCCATGCCTGTGGGAGGGAGGGAGGGAGGGAGAAGGGCTGGTCTTAGGGCCCCCCGAGGAAAAATATTGGACAAAAACAGGCTCATGGCTGGAAGAGATGATGCGACAACTTATTGTGATTTAAAACCAGAAATATTCCGGTTGGGGATCTTACCTGAAACTTAGAGCAAAGAAAATGTATATTTGATTATTCATGTGAAGAATCGTATTTGCTCAAAATTGAAAAAAGGAGCAGACTGCGGTGCTTTCTTTGGGTTTTCAGGATGAAAATTACATAAACAGATGTCTTGTTATCCACTTTTTTTCTTCAATCTCCTTCCTTCTTTCCTTCCTTCTTCCCCTCCCTCCCTCCTTCCTTTTTCTTCCTTTTCTTTTTCTTTCCCTTCTTTCTTCCCCTCTTTTTCTTTCTTTCCTTCCTTTCTTTTCTCTTTCCTTCCTTCCCTTTTCTTTTTCCTTTTTCTTCCTTCTCTCTCCCTTCTTCCTTTCTTCCTCCCTCTTTCCCTCCTTCCTTCCTTCCTTCCTCCCTCCCTTCCTTCCTTCCTTCCTCTTTCTCCTTCCTCACGGTTCCTTCCAGGGAAGATGGGACAAAAAGCCTCCCACCCACCAAGATTTAACAACACATCTTAAGCCAGAACATGACCTGCCAGGTAAGCTCCCAGGATTCCAGTTACTACCATCAGCTGAACACATGAACCAAGGACTCCTCGGATCTTGGAATGAGACGTTTCGGATATATATATCTAAGACATAAGCAAGAAAAATTAAATTAACGGAGAGGACCAGGCAGGTTGTGGAACCTTACTGTTGCCTTCATCTTCCAATTAAAACTGGTACTTTGCTTATTTTTGCGTCTTGCCTTAATGAGAACAAAAATGAACTTCAAAGACAAGGGTTGACTGACTTTAGCTCAGCACGAGGTAGCTTAGGTTAATTCCCCAATTCCTATATCCAGGCAGGCGGATGCAGGAACGACTTCTGAACGCTCGTACCTTCTCAGCTGCTATTGCTGATTTAGCGGTAGGGGGTTTCTCTTATCCTCTGGGGCAGGGGTCAGCACCCTTAAACACTCAAAAGAGCCATTTGGAGCCGTTTCCCACAGAAGCCAATAATATAACAACCCGGTCCCTCCCTCCCACCCACCCACCTCCTGCTCTGGAATAGGGAGCGAGTCTCCATCCCCCTTGCCTTCTCAGGCCAGGTGGGGAGTGACGGGGAGGGGAGGGGCCAGCCAGGTATGGTGGGATCAGCTGACGGGGAACCGCAGCAGGAGGGCCGAAAGAGCCGCATGTGGCTCCAGAGCCGCAGATTGCTGACCCCTGCTCTGGGGAAATCACACGGGCATAAGATGGACACAGGATACCCCTTACCGGAACTACCAAGGATGTGACGCCACTGGCCAAGCCACACAGCAGCCTTCCCAGGTAAAGCATCCAGATGTTCTGGGCCGAGACGATGATCAAGAAACCAAAAACATACGGGACCGCGCAGAGCATAAGGCTAAGTTTCCGGCCAATTTTGTCCACCACGTATCCTCCGAGTGTCCCGCCAGCTGCGGCCCCCAGCGTGACCACGGACTGCCGAAAGACACAGAAGACAAAAAATGAGAAAAGCGGGGAAATGAAACGGCAGGTTCCGGGGGTGGTGGTGGCCCGATCGGCTCACAAGTCCTGGTGGCAACTCACCCCAAACCAGGACGCTTGCGTATCATCCAGCCTCAGTTCTGGGTTGTGGCTTCGCTTCAGGCTAGGGATGGCCGGCGAGCTGTAGCCCAGCACAAAGCCGAAGCTGAGCGGTCCTAAGACGGCAGCGAAGGTGGCCAAGTAGAGATTGTGGTTTTGGACTTTGCTGTGAGAGAAACGAGGAGACCAACTGGTGGTGAATATCGGGTTGGATCTACTACCCGGGAACAGAAGCATTAAAGACATGTGGCTTGTTAAGTGTGGCGAGGACTTTGCACACCGATGTTTCCCTGGCTTTCGTGGGTAAAAGGAGTTTAGGTGCATCTGTTTATGAGTTTGAAGAGCAGACAACTAACTGGATCCACAAGGAATTCCAGCGTTCCTAAGTCAACAGATATGGATGAGCTGTATGGCTTACACCAGGGGCCGGCAACGGCATTGGTGACAGGAAGGGCATCTGGCCAGTGAACACTCATCTCCATTCAGTTGCCCAGATTCCACCTCGCGAGGGATTATGGGGTCGTAAAAGAAGACGATAGGATAGAGATTCTTCAAATTTATTATTTAGACATTTAATTGCCTTCCCCTCCATCTAGTTGCTGGGGAGGGGGGGAGGACACTGGTGTTCTTCACAATATTGTTATGTCTATTTACAACAATCAAGCTGGCCCATGTGGGCTTCAGCAGAAGTCAGAAACTGAGACAATTAAGACACAGAGCTCACGGATGGTTCACTGATTGACTGATAGATTCATCCATCCCTCCATCCAATTTCTACTCTGGGCAGCTCACCCTTCAACGGATCTGGCCAGCCTCATTTCAGAAGCAGGAATACATACACACCTCAAATAAATCTCCAGCTGAGAGGGTCTTCCAGCAGCATTCAATTCCGTCTCTGGGTTAGCATCCAAAAGGGGTCTATATTCCTCAGAAGCCATTGGCTGTGCCCCAAAGAAGACGCTTAATGATAGGAAATTGTCCCTTAAGTCCCTTGAAATTATAAGGAAAGGGGGGGACAAGAAAAAACGAGAAGCAAATCATATGACTTCAAACCACTAGCTTCCTTAGTTATAAAACTGCAGACTCTTGATTTTAATTTTCCATCAGAAAAAGACACACACTCTCCATTCTTTGCTTTGCTCAAAAAGGAGCTATTTGCGGTGGGCTTATTCCTGGAATACCCTTGAGGACAAGACCATATAATCATCTTTACAGCCAGCAATTCTCTTTCCTATCTCTTCCTTAGACTCACTTTATTGTCACTTTGAATGTACACTAATCGGCATACATGAAAATGAAAGTTGGTTGCATGCAGCTTCTTGCTTAGACAGTGACTTCTATTTTCTCTATCTGATCAACCAGAAAAGCAAGAATGAGGAAAAGAGGAAATTATGGTATTGAGGACTGGATGACGGCAGTCTGAAGAAATTTTCTCTCTCCAGAAAATACCCCCAGAGCTTCACGATTCAGATCAACACGCAGCAAGTTCATGTCTTGGCATGACACAAGCTCTCACAAATCACTAGTTTGACACCAGGTAATCTAGGCTTGTCCACTCGGACAGCGCCCCCCCCCTTCCATCCAAGCAATGAGTTTCCTTTTGAACCCTCACACCAAACTGGTTCTCTGAATTGGCCCAAAACTGACTAGACCTTAATCAGTTTCACGCCTAAGACTTTTGCCCACCCAATCAGTTCCAGCACAAACCCGTGTTTGAAAAAAACCACTTTTTCTGATGTTTGCGGGGGGACGGGGAAGCAATCTTGTCTATATGTAAGCTGAAATAATTTTGGGTGGGTGGGTGGAGGGGCAGCTTTTCTCTGTAATTTATTTATTTATTTGATTTGTCACTTGCTTACAAGATAATAGGTATAAGTATATACATAGTTATGAATACATGAAATGGGTACATATAAGAAAAATAAAAGAAACAATAGGACAGGGACAGTAGGCACCTTGGTGCACTTATGCACGCCCCCTACAGTCCTCTTAGGAAGGGAGTGAGGTCAATAGTAGACAGTCTAAGGTGAAAGTTTTTGGGGTTTGGCGAAGAAACCACAGAGTCACGTAGACTATTCCAGACATTGATCACTCTGTCGTATTTCCTGCAATCAAGTTTGGTGCGGTTAACCTTGAGTTTGTATCTATTGCTCTTGTGTTGTTGTGGTTGAATCTGAAGTATTCATTGACAGGTAGGACTTGCAATGTATGATTTTATATACCATACTTAGATCAGACTGAAGGCGGCATAATTCAAGGTTTTCTAGGTCTAGAATTTCAAGTCTGGTGGCATAATATCTGACATGGATGCCAAGAGGTTGGCATCCTGCGGTCTCTGCCTTTCTGCTCAGAGAGCTTCCTGGAAGGTGGACTATGTAGGAGGAAAAATGCATTAATCTTGGAAAGCTGGCATTGATCTCCTCCGTTTCCCCTGTTTACTCCCCTTCTGGGGATCAGCGGCCACGCCCGATGCGTCCGAGAGGGGGGGAATGCTTGGGCATTGTAAACACAGGCAGCGGCTGGCTTTTCCCATTGCAACATCCTTCCGCCCTCCAGCTCTGCCAGGCCCCTGAATTCCCAGGTTGGGAAGAGAATTGAGATGCGAATCTTTGCAGAGGGCGCCAGGTTGGAGAGGGATCTATCTGGGCAAAGCGACCATTCCACCCTTCGGCACAGCCCTCCAAAGGGACAATATTGGGAATCCAGAGCATGCAAGACATGCAAAAAAGGGGGACTGTCCCGGAGCCCCCCCACTCACCTTTTCCTCCCCCTTCTCCTTTTTTAATTCCAGCCCCCAAGAGCGGCGCTTCCCCGCCGAGCCCAAATCTAACAACGGCCGATTCGTTTGCAGCGGGTTTGCAAGGTGGAACCAAAGACACCGCCCCCCTGGGCTCCGCTTTCCGGGCGGGGCCACACAAGGCGTAGGACCGGAAGTGCATCGGCGTTAAAAAAGAGAAGCGGCATCTGGTCTTGCTTCTCTTTAGGCCTTTCTAGGAAAAGAAGCGGGAAGGGCGCTCTACTCTCTCCATCTCTATGGACGACGCCTCTTCCTCTTCTTTCCGGAGACGCGGGTGGCGTGCGGGGATGACGTCAGTGCCTCAGCGCCGGAAGCTCCCCGGCCAGGAGCTCCGCTGGGATCCGGTGGCGGCAGGTACGACCCCCCGAATGAGGCGGCGGGTGGGAAGGAGGGAGGGACCCCAGGTGCTGGGGGGGGGGGAAGCCTGGGGTAGGGGACCGGGAGGGGGCACAGGTTGTTATGGAGACCGCCTGCAGCCAGGGGGGCGGGGCCAGCAGGGTGGGAAGGAGGGAGGGGCGGGGAGAGGTTCTCGGGGGGTTGGGTGGGGCGGCCACGGAGGCCGCTGGGGGTCAAAGGGGGGGCTGCTATTGCTTGCCCCCCCTTCTCCTTCCAGGGATGAGCCCCAGCCTGGCCTTGGCGAGTCAAAAAGGGGCGGGGGGGCGTCAGAGGTGGGGGGGTCGGGCTTGAGGTCAGAAATCCCTTTTAAATCCCCCTCCCCCCCCCACAGAAAAGGTCAGAATACAGAAGAAAGAGGGTTGGGAGGGACCTTGGAGGTCATCTAGTCCAACACACACACACACACACACCCTGGGGTTCAAGCAGGGGGACCCTGCCCCAGTCCAGACAAGGGGCGGCTGCCCGAATGGATTTGAATGGCAGGAGAATTGCAGTTTCAAGAGAAGGGGCGCAATAGAGCAAGGCGGTCTTAGGATAAACAGCAGCAGCATGTCTGGTTGGGGGATATCCAGTACCCTGGAATATGGAATGAAGAGGGGACCTCGGAGGTCTTCTAGTCCAACCCCTTGCTCAAGCGGGGGGGGGAGGAACGGAACGACCCTCTGCCGTTCCAGACGAGCGGCTGCCTGAACGGAGTGGAAGCACAACTGACCAGAGAAAGGGAAAGCAAAGTGCGGGCGGTCCTTGACTTACAGCAGTTCATTTAGGGGACCGTCCAAAGTTGCAACGTCGCTGGGGGAAAAAAAAAGCGACTTTAGGACCCTTTTTCATGCTCACGGCCATTGCAGCACACACCCATCCCAGTCACGTGACTTGCATTCAGGTGCTTGAGCCCTGACTCACATTTATGCCGGTCGCAGCGTCACGGGTCCACTTTTTGCGACCTTCTGACAAAGTCATAAAATGGGGCAAAACTCCCTGAACAAATGTCGTACTTGAACAACAACACAAGGGCTCGGTCGGGGTCGAGGGCTGCCTGTAACAACACTGGTCTCTGAAGCAACAGCAGGGCGTATGATGGTCAATACCATTGAATATAGAACCATAGGCCTGGAAGGGTCCAGTCCCTTCCTTGCTCAAGCAGGGGACCCTATACCATTCCAGGCAAATGGCTGTCCAATCTCTTATAAGGCTCCATATAAACATAATCCAGCAAAAATATAACTGTAAAAGAGACCCTTTAGGTCACACCCCGAATAAGTGTGTTGGAAGGGACCTTAGAGACCCCATATCGTGTCAGACAAATGGCTGTCCAGGCTCTTCTTCGCAACCTCCCGTGGTGGGGCACCCACAGCTTCTGGAGGCAGCCAGTGAGGGGGGCTCCTGCCTGTCAGAGGGGACAGGGCGGGGAGAAGGCACCTCTGGTTTTTCATCTAGACAGGAAACCAAACCACCAAGGTCAGCACTTCCTTTATTGTAAGCGGGCAGTAACAGCATCTCGCCAAGGATTTCTGAGACCACTTCTCCCTCCCTCCTTCCCTCCCTCCCGCTCTCCAGAAAACCAGGGAGGGGCCCTTCTGTGTCACTTTCCATGCCCCACCAATTCCTTCTCCGGCTGAATGTTGGCTTGTTTTTGCGGCTCTTCCTCCCAGAGTCTCCTCGCAGCCTATTCCAGCTTTCGAAGAACGCTGGAGTCCTGTCTGAACTAGTTCCAGGTAGTCTCTTCCCAGAGATTCAGAGGGGTCTGAAGTGCAGAGCTTGTGGGAAGCAATTGCCCCCACGCTGTGCCTGGAAGCGTTCAGTCTTTTGTGGGCAGAAGCGTGCAGGCAATGTAGATAGATTATGGAGGAATATTTGAGGTTTTTGTGTTGTAATAGTTGTGTAGAACAAGTTCCTGGAGACAGTTGGCTGCAATCCAGAGCCAGTTTTGTGCTGCAGAATGGCCCACGAAACTCAGACCTTTTATGTCATTCCCTTTGTTATGGCTGTTGTTCATTGTTACTATTATTTAATTCATGTTCATGTCTCCTGTCAGTTTGTTAATCCTTGACAGTTTTCTCCACCCTGCCTTAAAATCTCTATAAGTGTTTTATATAATGAAGCAAAGCAAAAACAAAACAAAAGAGACAGCAGGTCGTTGCCATGAGGTGACTTCAGCCGTTTAGCATGAGTGATCAGCTAAAAGGAAGAAAAAAGAAGGGAAGGATGAAAGAGTAACGGGCGGGGGAAGGGAGGAAGGGAAGAATGAAAAGGGAGGAAGAGAAGGAAGAAAGGAAGGATCATTTTAACCATTCTATTTCTTCCCACACATACTTTTTTACCCAAAAGTTTGGCCCCATTTTTAAAAAAATCTCATTTCTTAATCCTAACTGAAACAACTCAACTCTTGAAAAGTTAATGGAAAATAAAACGAGCTATTTAAGGTCCTATTTCATTTAGGCAAGTTTTGGATATGCGTTAGCAACCATGGCTTTTAGAGAAAGACTGGGCCTGTCAGATATATTTAATTTAGCCATAAATTAGAGACCTTCGGAGGGTGGGGTCTTTGGTGCTCTCTGGACTTGGTTGTGAATTTCATGACCCAGCTAGGTAACATCATCAGGGCCTTCCCATATCTTGGGTTGCATCCTGATGTTTTCCAGGCAGCCAGAGACTGGTCATTGTAGCGCGACTTATCTGGAGGATTAGTAGATTCCCTGGGCCAGGCGTGCCTTAGGGGAGCTCGGTGGACCTCTGAGGAGCCTAGGATGGCCTTGGTTACTGTTATTTGTTATTTGAACAGGAGAAATGGCCACAGAGGAAGGTCAACCCCTACTGGGTTCCAAGGAGGAGAAGGAGAATTGGCAGCAACCCACTGAGCACCATCCTATCACAGACAACTATCGAAGGTAGATGCAACCTCTTTGCTAAGCAGCTCAAAGGCTAGGAATAGAAACTGGGAGCAGAGGAGGCACGAGGGGGGTTTCCATTCACCGGTCCTCTTTCCCTTGGAGCAGCTGGAGCATCGAATCACCAAGCGAGCTGTTCCTTTTCGGACTTTTCGGACCTTCCCTCGTTTAAGTCGGGGGGTCCTTGACATACGATCGCCCGTTGACCCCCAAATTTCTGTTGCTAAGCGGGACGGTTTTTCCAGTGAGTTTTGCCCCCTGTATAAAATTCAATGATTTTTTTTTTTTTTTACGACCTTCCTTGCCACCAATGTTAAGGGATGCCCTGCAGGGGTTTAAGTTAGCGACACGGTCGTTGAGCGAATCTGGCTTCCCCCCTCGATTTGGCCTGTCGGTAGGCCGCCAACGGGGATCACGTGACCCCGGGGACACCGCAATAAATGCGAACCAGTTGCCAAGTGTCCGATCCCGTGACCACAGGGAGGCTGCCATGGTTTTGCATGCAGGGCTGGGATTCAGCCGGCTTGGACCGGTTCACACGAACCGGGTGTTCAATTTACATTTGGTTCACCAAACCGGTAGTCGAACCGACCAGCTGGCCCGCCCCTCCCCTCCCCGGAGTCTCCACGCGGCCCGTGTTGGATGAAGGTAAGTAGAGGGTCCCTGCGGAGGCCCTGGGAGGGCTGTTTCCGGCTTCCAGGGGGCCTCCGGTTTTCGGGGGAAGGCAAAAAGTGGCCCTCCCAGAAGGTTCCGGTAGGCCACACCCACCCAGCAACCGGGCAGCGAACCGGTTGCTGGGAGTTTTGAATCCCATCCTTGTTTGCATGCGAAAAAGGGTCCCAAGTCCCTATTTTCCGGGGCCGTTGTAAGTTTGAATGAACGGTTGTAAGTCAAGGGCTCGGAGCACCGCGCAGGCTTTGGGGCGTGGGTGTGTTTAAGGTCTTTGTAGCAACCTTTGCCTTGGACTTTGGAGTCGAGCTAATCCCCCCCTTGTTTTGTTTTTTTTGATGTCCCGCAGGTAAATGTTTCCATTGCCTTATGGAGAGAAAGGAGTTCGAAGCATGGCTTGATAACCTTTCTGTCACGTTTCTCTCTCTGGTGGACTTGCAGAAAAATGAGGCGCTGGACCACCTGATCGCCCTGAGTGGGGCCGCCCAGCTCAAGCACCTCTCCAACAACCTCGAGGCGCTTCTCAAGCGGGACTTCCTCAAACTGCTCCCGCTGGAACTGAGCTTCTATTTGCTCAAATGGCTCGACCCTCAGACCTTACTCACCTGCTGCCTCGTCTCTAAGCAATGGAACAAGGTCATCAGTGCCTGCCTGGAGGTGTGGCAGGTGGCCTGTCGGAACCTGGGTTGGCAGATCGATGACTCTGTTCAGGAGGCCCTGCACTGGAAAAAGGTCTACCTGAAGGCCAACCTGAGGATGAAGCAGCTGGAGAGCCACGAGGCCTTTGAAACCTCCTCCTTGATTGGGCACAGTGCCAGGGTGTACGCACTTTACTATAAAGATGGACTCCTTTGTACAGGTAGGGAAGTCCGCCCAGCTCCAGAAACTAAATGAGTGGCTTGCGAGGTTTGGAGGCGCTCTTTAGTCGAAGTCTATGGGTTGTAGTGTGGAATCGAACCCAGGAACACCCCCCCCTCCAAACCTGGTGCTTCCTGCGTCGAAAGGATTCTGTTCTGACCCAGCTCCCCAAACACGACAAACCCTCCGTAGCTGAAGCAGCAAAACGTTTCTCTTTCACCACAAGTCCAGCTGGCAGGGGAGATGAATTGTTGTCTGCCGCAGCTATTCGTCTCTGCCCTCTGCCTTTGATCCCCAGAGCTAGGGTGGGGCCTCCCTAGCAGCGGTGGCTCTTCCGTCCCGAGGACCGGCCCGTAGATTTCCAC